CCTCCCTCCCTCACAAAAAACAGTATCAATGCCATCTGTCTCTTCGGGGCCCGCTGGCGCCGTCGGAGGAGCTTGTTGCCTGCTCTTGGTGGTCTCGGGGGTCTCGTGGGCCATTCGTGGCCCTCTTGGCCGTCTCGGGGATCCTCGGGGCCCTCTTGGCCCCTCTCAGGTCATCTGGGGGGTCGTGTTGGGTCGTCCCTGGGCGCTCGCGACTTCGCCTGCCCGCTCGGGCCCTGCACCTGCGTGGATCAGTCTTCTGTCGGCGGGTCCAACCAGGTGCTTGCACTTCGGGGTTCGCCCTTGGACTGGTAAATGTGAATGGGGCCCCAAGACACACAACTAAATACACACAAATTCGCCGGCCCAACGGGCCAGGGCGTGCTAAGATCTCCGGTACCTGGTTAATAGTATTTCTAGTTCGCGCGCGCGGGGCGGCCCCTGGGGGTCCCCGGACGAAAAGTACCCCGGCAAGGTCCCGGCAAGGTCGGGCCAGAGATGCCGGAGCCCTGTTACAGGGCCCCAGGACGGGCCAAGAGGTCCCCAAGAAGCCTCCAAGACGGTCCAAGAGGGCCCCGAGACGCCCAAAGATCGCCCGAAGACGCCCAACAGGGCCCCAAGACAGCCCAAGAGGCCTCCAAGACGCCCCAAGGGCCTTCCAAGAGGCCTCCGAAGAGGGCCCCAAGAGGCCAAAATCGTTGATTTTCATTGTTTTTTTAGATGTTTTTTGCGTTCTGCCTTTTTCGGCTTCCGGACGCTCCAAGACGGCCCAAGAGGCCCCCAAGACCGCACCAAGACGGCCCACGAGGCTCCCAAGACGGCCCCGGAACGGCCCAGGAGGGCCCCCAAGACGGCCCAAGTGCCGCCAAAGACGGACCAAGAGGCCCCAAGACGGGCCCAAGAGGGGCTCAAGAGGGGAACCGAGAACTGAAAAATCGAGCCCTCCGCCCCAGAAGGCGCCCAGGAGGCCCCAAAAAGGCCCAAAGAGGCCCCCAAGAGGCCCCCAAGACGCCCCAAGAGGCGCCCAAGAGGCCCAAAAGAGGCCCCAAGAGGCCCCAAAACGGCCCCCAAGAGGCCCCAAAACTCGGCTAGCCCACAACGGTGCGACAATATGGGCCGGCGGAATGAGCGAAGCGATTAAATAACAATGTTCCCCATATTTTCCCATATGTTCTGTTTTTTGTCTTCCCCCCCACTTCCCATAGTTTCCCATATTTTCGGGGGAATCGACGATTAATTGTCTGTGTTTTTTTTCCCTCCTGACAGGTGCTTGCACTTTGGGGTTTTCGCCCTTTTGCACTGGCTAATGGTGCGCTGGGCCTGCCGAGGCTCCGCCCGGTGTGCGCCCCTGTGCGCTGGCTGGGCCCGTCGAGAAGTCTCGCCCCGTCGGCGCCCCGTGGGTGCTTCGTGGTGCCCCGTGCGCCGGCCAGCTCCGCCGCTAGCTCGCCTGGTGGGGTAAGCCGATGGGCTCACGATCAGAGGAGCTACCCCAGCAAAGCACTCTGCTATCGCCGAGCGCGTGCCACGACTCGCAAAGTGCCTGCTCGCAAACGTCCGAGAACAAGCCATCTGTCTGCATCGATGCCATGTATCGCTAAGCTCCCACGGCGGATCCAGGCCGTTTGCGAGTAGGGACTTTGCGAGGAGCGGACCGCGCTCGTCGATAGATACTGGGTGACGAGGCGGGCCGAGGAGCAGGAGGCCGGCTGGTAGCAGGGGTGAGAGCACGGCCACGTACACCCCAAGTGTACTCTCACAGAAAGGATCGTGGACGTCCAGCCCCAAGATAATTTTCCGTCGGCGGCGAGGCGGGGCAACCCGCTCCAGCGTGGCAGCGATGCAGGGGCACTACAGAACGAATTGGCCGGCATACATGGAGGGGGGGGGAGGAGGACGGGGCGGCCGCGGGGGGGCAGGAGGGCGAGCACCCAGAGGCGGAAAGCTTCCGCCATGAGCAGCTGGAGCGGCCCGCCGGGGACGGCGCCCCGGGGGGCCGGAGCACCAGCCGGGCAGACCGCGTCAGCAGGCGCGAGGCGCGGGGAACAGTGCAAGCGCCTGTGGGCTGCCCCGGGCGGAATGCTCCGTGATTGTCCTTCAGCAGGACGTGCGATGGCTTTGCGCACCGGCGTGGGAGCCGGCGGGCGGCGCGTCCGGGCGCCCAGTGGGGCGGCAGGGGCGCGGCGGCAGCGAGCAGGAGCCGCGGGGCGGCGGCGCCATGGCGGCCGGAGGGAGGGGAGGGAGAAGGAGGGCGGGCGAGGGAAGCCCGCAGCTGCGGCGGCAGCGGCGAGGCGGGGGTGCTGCGGAAGCACTGGCACGAGATGAGCCGAGGCCGTCTGGAAGCGCGAGGGCCGGCGAGGCGACCGGAGGTGCCAGGCACGGCGGACCGCTCCACAAGGAGGTGGGAGCGGCCAGGTAATGAGCAAATTGCGCGGAGCGGGGGCGGGCACGGGCGGGCGCATGGAAGCACTGGCGGCCGCACTGCACAGGTGCAGGCGACGGGGAGAGCATAACGGCAGGACCGACAGAGGCAAAGGTGGCTGAGGGCGCGGAGCCAGGGGGGGGGCAGAGGCGGGCGCGGGGGCGCCGGCGGCCGCACTGCGATGGGGCGCAGACGGCGGGGTAGAGAGCGGATCGAGCCCAGGGGGGGCGCGGCAGGAGTACCGCGCCACAGGGCACTGGAATGGTGCAACAGGCAGGGGGACCCAGGGTCTCGCCCGCCCCGACGGACAGGACGTGACGGCGAGCCAGGAGCGGCGCACGAGCGGCGCGGAGGGGGAGAGGCCACGCGCCGCCCCGACGGACAGCACGTGGCGGCCAGCGGGTGGCAAACGTGCTGGGGGGGAGACCAGGGAAGCACCGGAAGGGTGCAGCGAACGGATGAGCAGAGCCACGCGCCGCCCCGACGGACAGCACGCAGCGGCCGCTGACGCTGGGGGCGGCAGCGGCGGGGGGCCAGAGAGGACGCGACAGCGGGATGCAGCGGAGAGCTGCCCAGGGGAGGGCGGCTGAGCATCGTGGGGGAAGGAGCAGCCGAGCGCCGCCGCTGGGGCAGCGGGCGGCGGCCAGCGGGCGCTGGAGGCAGCCACGTTAGCGGGAGACCAGGGGCGCAGAGGAGTGGCGCAGCGTGCGGGTGAAGAGGTGCAGCGCGCCGCCCCGACGGACAGCCAGGAAGGAGGGCAGGTGCGCTCAAGGGGAGAGCAAAGCGCGAGCTCCCAGGGGCACTGGTCGGATATCGTGTGGCGTGTCGGTATCCCAGACCAAACATGTAGTCACCACTGAGGCGCGAACGCGACCTCCAAACTGATGCTGAAGAACTCTCAAGCGAAACGGCTGCCGGAACGTCGTCGTCGTCGCCGTCGCCGCTCCCCCCCCCTCCCAGCGCCCTGCCCCCCAAGCGAGCCAGCCGGACAGCAATCACGCAGCGCCGCAACTGATTCGGTTCCCCCCCCCCTGCCCCCCCCCCTGAGGGGGTCCCCCGGGAGGGAGGGGACCGCCGTGGGTCGTGGCCTTCCCCCGAGGGGGCCCCCCCTGTGGACCTCCCGGGTGCCGCACCCGCGGAGGCACCCTCCTCGCGCTTGTCTGCTGTTGCGGGGTGCTGCGCATTTCCCTGCGTGTCTCCAGGAGGCCTCAGTGCCGCTCCGAGGCGGCTCCAAATGGCCACGTAGCTCCCCCAGAAGTCCCCCAAGAGGACCCACAACAGAGCCCAATAGGCTGCCAAGAGAGCCCAGGAAGGACAGCAGACGTCAGCGTCGTCGTCCCCCTTCGGGGTCGGCGGGCCCGGCCGTAAGGCCTTCCCAATAAGAGCAGGATAGGCAGGATGAGGGGGGCGGAACATGGAAAGAGGCGACAAGAGAGGAGGATGGATACGAATAAGAGGATGAATGAGGGACGGGGATGCGGAGGAGCAGGAGCGGGAAGAGGCGGCTGAGGGGACGAACACTCCTATCCTAGAGCTTGGACGCTAACACTTCAGCTGAAGCCTACTCCTGGTCAGCAATTCTTCCTCCTCCTCCTCTTCCTCCCCTCATTCTAATCCTCTTGAAGGAATCGAGTCGAGCCAAGTGGGATTGGGGCTCCGATGACGGCTAACACCGTAGCTCGCCCTCACGAAGCCTCTCACGCTGTCTGCGGTCGCCCTGTCGGGAGTTGTCGTACGCCACGCCCCACGCTGCTGCGGGGGGGAGCTGCACGGTGACCAGGCCGTCCGCTGCGACAGCGCAATCGACAAGAGCCAGAACCGAGCGCGAAACCGAAACCGACCGACCCCAAATCTGCCCGAAGCAGCCGAGGACGACGCAGCGCCGCGGCGGCGACGCAACGACCGATCGAACCGAGCCTGCCGATGCAACCGAGCCGACCGAACCGCAGACACAGCTCGTGCGTGCAGCGAGGCGGGCGTCCGCGGCCGCGCGCGGCGCCCGAGTTCGCGAGGCAAAGGAAATTTGCAGCGGGGCCGATCGGACGCTCCCCTGGGGGAGGAGCAGGCTGAGAAAGGCCAGGCGAAGGACGAGGAGGCGACCGAAGCTCACTGCCCCTGTGGCGATTGACCGTCCCGAGCCTCCGCCTTCATGCGCGCGATGCGCTCGGCCGCAGTCTCCTCGCCAACGATGGCGGCAGCCTCAGCTTCGGCCTGCAGAAGGCGGATGATGGTGATGATGATGCTGAGGGCGGGCGGGCGGGCGGGGCGAGCGATGAGGGAAAGGAGTGTGGGGGGGGACGGAAGAGGAGGATAAGCAGGAGGAGGAGGAGGAGTAGGAGGAGAATGAGGAGGAGGAGGATGAGGAGGAGAAGGAGAGGGGGAGAAGGAGAAGAAGGAAAAGGAGGAGGAGAGGAGGAGGAGGAAAAAGGAGGAGGAGGAGGAGGAGGAGGAGGAGGAGGAGGAGGAGGAAGGAGAGGAGGAGGAGGAGCAGGAGGAGGAGTAGGAGGGGAATGAGGGGATGAGGAGGAGGAGGAGACAGAGGAGGAGGGGAGAAGGAGAAGAAGGACGAGGAGGAGGAGGAGGAGGAGGAGGAGGAGGAGGAGGAGGAGGCGGAGGAGAAGGAGGAGGAGGAGGGGAGGAGGAGGAGGAGGGTGATGATGCTGATGATGCTGCTGCTGATGATGATGATGATGCTGCTGCTGATGATGATGCTGATAATACGGAGGAGGAGGAGATGAGGAGGAGGAGGAGGACGAGAGGAGGAGGAGGAGGAGGAGTAGGAGGAGGAGGAGAGGGAGACGGGGGAGACGGAAGATGATGAGGAGGAGGATGAGGAGGATGAGGGAGGAGGAGGAGGAGGAGGAGGAGGAGGAGGAGGAGGAGGGCAGGAAGAGGATGAATAGGGGGGGGGGAGGTGGGAGGGGGCGGGGAAGAGGGGGAGAGGCACAGATGATGAGATAATGAAAGAGGGGGAAGGAAAAGAAGAAGGGGAATGATGACACGGGATGACAAGGAAGAGTAGAGGAGGGCGGAGGAGATGAACGCCACGAATAACGCGCATTGGGGGAAGGATGGGGAAGAACGACGTGGTGAGAGAAAACATATGGTACGGAGAGGAAGGGGCGGAGGGTGAAGAGGCGGAACGCGGTAAGAAGATAAGACCTGAGGTGAGAATGGGGGCTACGAAGGGGAGGTTGGGTGAGAGGAGTCGGGGGAGAAGGACTACGGTTGGAAGCCCCAAGAGGAACACATGTCCATTGGGCGAAGGGCCACGGTACATCAAACAACACAACGCACACGAATCCATGAATGACGACCAACGCAAACCACGACAACGAAGCCTCTGGACGGCGGGACGGCGAAAAGGGCACGTCAAGCGTAGGCACGACAACACACTGCAGCCCGAGGCGAGGCAGGGCGACATGGCAGGCACGAGGCGAGCCAGCGAGATGCACGCACTGCCATGAGCACCAACACCATATGGGACGAAGCACACCAATTCAATTCTGTGGAGCCGCACGGCACAACACGATGCTGTTCAATACAACGTCGCATCAAACCTGCCAGGCAGGACACACGCAGGCACATATATAGCTCCTCACCACTCGTCTCTGATTTCGGTGAGTTCGATGAGGAGGGGGACTGTGATCATGGGGATTGTCAGCGAGATGTGGAGCTGGGGGGGCACGACCGCGAGGATGTATCATGTAGATGTAGAGGCGCTCGGATGTCTCTTTGCCAAGCCCAACGCTGCCCCACCCACGCAAGACGAGAAGGGAGAGGAAGGATGAAGATAGGGAGGACGATGAGGTAGGGGAGGAGGAAGAGTAGGGTGCGGTGGGTGAGGGGCAGGAGCATGTGGAGGATGAGGAAGATGAGGAGGATTATGGGGAGGAGGATCAAGGAGGAGAAACGAGAGGAGCAACCAGCAGAAGCAGTAGGCGACAGTGGCGACGGTGCTGATAACGATGATGCTGACGACGATGATGCCAATTATGTAAAGGAGGGAGAGCAGGAGCGATAGCAGGAGAAGGCGAAAACCAATGATGGTTCCGCCGCCGACACCGACGCCGACGCCGACGCCGACACGACGACGACGACGAGGCCGAAGACGAGGCCGACGACGGCGACGGCGGCAAGACGGAGGGGATGGCGCCTCTGCCGCGCGCCGCTGGCTCTCCTCGGGGGCGGCGCCGGCGAGGAGACCCTCAGAAGGCCCAGCAGCCTGCTCCTCCTCCTCCTCCTCCTCCTCCTCCTCCTCGCCGTCGTCCTCCTCTTGCCTCCCCCTCCCCCTCCTCGTCCCTTCACCTTCCCCTCATCCCCTTCCCCCACCTAGTCGTCCTCCTCCCTCACCTCCTCCTCCTGCTCCTGCTCCTGCTCCTGCTCCTCCTCCTCCTCCTCCTCCTCCTCCTCCTCCTCTTTCCTCCTCATTCTCATGCTCCCTCTGCTCCCCCTCCACCTCCTGGTCCCCAGAGGTGAGGATCCCAGACGACGGTGAACCTTACCACCGAGTAGTGACCATTCCCATCCTCCTCCTCCTCGTCCACCATTTTGGCCTCGTCCTCGTCCTTTCCTCATCTGTTCTTCTCGCTCATTTTCCCCGCGGATTGACGTGCGTCTGCGCGAGCTGGCCGCATCTACTTCGAGTAGCGCCGCTGCCAGGACTGGCGTCGAAGGTGCAACCCCAGAATGCAGGATGACCGGGTGAGCACGCGGGCGGTTCGCACGAATACGCCGCACTGCCGCCGCAACGGACGCAGAAAACGCGGCCGGGCCCGTGCGCGAGGGCGTGGGGCCACCACGAGCGCCCGGCGGAAAACGCGGTCAGCATGTCCCCCCCCTCTGACGGGCGCATGAGCGCCGCTCCGGCGCGGGCAGGTCGGCGCTGGCGTCGCCCGGCCAGCGGGGGCGTTGGCCGCAGGAGCAGACGCGGCGCGCACCCAGGCGCCGCGGCGGACCCCGCGGCAGTCGCAGCGGCGGCGGCGGCGCGCAGAGGGCAACGCCGCTGCCAGGGCGGCCTGATGCGCGGCAGCCATCACGCGCCGCGCGGCCTCCAACAGCTCCAGCTCCCAATGGCGGGCGCGCACCGCGTCCAGTGGCGGCGCCCTGCTGGCAGCGGCAGCGCCAGCGTTGCCGTTGGCCGCCGCGTTGCCGAGGCGGTCCCGCTCGCTCAGCTCCGGGCGGCGCGCCTCCGCTGGCGTCTTGTGAGCTGGTACCCAGCGCATCTAGAGCCGTCCGTTACGCACGGCATCCGCCAGCAAATGTCACAAGGCAGCGTGCTCCCAGTTCCGCGGGTCGGCGCTGGCCTCGATCTTGGCACACCCCCGCACCGCGTACTGGCTATCCGAGGCGAGGTCGATCGGGCCGCCCACTACGCGAGCCGCCGCCACCACCGCGGCCGTCACCTCGGCCCTCTGCGCTGTCTGCAGCCCGCCGACCGGGCCCGCGACGTCGGGGGCTGCGAGACCCTCGACCCCGAGACCCAATGCCGCTCGCGCCAGCAACGGGTCAGCGGGGTGGAGGCATGCCCCGTCGCTCCACACCGTGCGGCGGGGTGCTCCTGGGAGCAGCGCCGCTTGGGCCGGTAGCTGCGGGTCCTCACTCCCAGCGGCCTCTGCGAGGGCAGTGAGGAGCGGAGGCATCGCCAAGACCCCCGCCTGCGCGACCCCCGCTGGCAGCAGCCCCCGCAAGTCCCAGGCACCCCTGGGCAGTGTCTCCGACGCTCTACGTAGTTAGATTGCATCACATAGATTGTCCCACATGGCTTGTTATATGTGTGTATATACATACATCGATGCATATTGCCATTCGTAAGCTGCACAACACATACAGCACAACATACATGTCACCGCGTACCTATACGACCACCCTTCGGGTGATAAGGAGGTTGTGGGGAGGGGAGACGGGGGGGCGCCAACATCTGACTCAATTGATCTCACTATCGATATCACTCATCGGGACGCCACTGGACACCACGGGACACCACGGGACACTTGTCGATCTCATTCTCGATCTCACGATCGATCTCTCTCAACGGGACACCACGGGAGATTACGGGCCACCACGGGACACCACGGGACACCGCGGGACACCTCTCGATCTCACTATCGGTCACACTATCGATCTCACTATCGATCTCACTCAACGGGACACCGCGGGACACCACGGGACACCACGGGACACCTCTGGACACCACATCGATCTCACTATCGATCTCACTATCGATCTCACTGTCGATCTCACTCAACGGGACACCACGGGACACCACGGGACACCTGTCGATCTCACTGTCGATCTCACTCAACGGGACACCACGGGACACCTCGGGGCACCACATCGACCTCAGTATCGATCTCAATATCGATCTCACTATCGATCTCACTCAACGGGACACCACGGGACACCGCGGGACACCACGAGCCACCGACGGACGGGCGAGAGGGGGAGAATCATTTGACTTGTCTGCGCCCTAGCAACGGCGGGGCACCACGGGACACCACGGGACACCACTGGACATCGCGGGACACCGCTAGGGCCACCGCCGGACGGAGGATAATCATTTGTCTAGACTTCGCCCTAGCAGCGGCGGGTTCATTCCTCTCGCGCGCCCACGCAGCTTCGCCTCGCCCTAGAAACGCCGGGACACCACGGGACACCACGGAACACCACGGGACACCGCGAGACACCGCTAGGGCCACCGCTGGACGGCGGAAAATCATTTGTCTAGACTTCGCCCTAGCAACGGCGGGTTCAGTCCTCTCGCGCGCCCACGCAGCTTCGCCTCGCCCGCACGCACGACACGAACGAAACGAAACGATTTCCCGGTTGGGGGTCTCCGTTCGACTGCGATCTCACCCCCTAACTTCCGATATTGCACCACATAGACTGCTCCACTCATATTGCATCACATATATTGCTCCACATCGATTGCACCGCATACGTTGCTAGCATCACACTGTTTGGGGTCAACGCTGGCTTGTGCATACGCACAGGCACACACACGTGTATGTTTATGTTTACGGGTTTGTTTGCACTTTTGTGTGTGTGTGTATGCAGTCATGTACGCATGCGTTTATGCATGCACGCAATAATGCGTGTACGTATGAGTGTATGCATGTCTCTATGTATGCATTTATGTATGCATGCATGCATGTATGCATGCATGTCTACTTACATGTATATATATATACGTGCTTGCTGGTCTGTATGCATGTATGCACGTATGCATGCAGGTATGCATGCATGTATTCATATATGCGTGTATGCATGCATGTATGAATGCATGCAGGCACGTGTGTATGTATGTATGTATGTATACATGCATGCATGCATGCATGCATGCATGTATGTATGTATGTATGTATGTATGTATGTATGTATGTTGTATGTATGTGTGTATGTCTGTATGCATATAAGTATAAATATATATGCATTATAGATCTATGTAGGCATGTGGTATACATACATGCATGCATGCATGTATGCGTGTATGCATATGCGTACATGTGCATGCACAGAATATATCTCTGTACACGGGACATACGTACATGCATCTATTATATGTGATACCTCTCTCTCTCCCGCTCTCGCTCACCATCTTTATTAAGGTCTATCTCTCTGTCTCCCCTCCACTCTCTCGCTGTTTTTTCAAGCAAGCCGCAACGGACAAACCGACGAGAAAAAGCGTTGGCCAGACTGGAGCACCAGGAAATACATAGGGGTCCTGGAACTAAGCCGTCCTAGAGATCAGAGTCCCAGGATCACACGGCAGCCTCAAGCTACGAAGAGCTCGAGATAATCAGAGTCAGACGCTAAGGGCGGCAAACATGATCTGCTTTACAACATGCGAGGAGGGCAAACGAGCAGGGGAATTCGACCCTGCTTTCTGGTTCGGGGCAGAGCGGCGCAAGGCTAGCCGCGGGTTCCTACAGCAAGGGTGCCTTCTCATATGTTCCGCACCATCACTTCGAAGAGATGTGACTGAACTTGCCTAGGCGCTGGACGCTGCCTTTTAGCGTCACCAAAGAACGGCCATCGCGGATGGATCTGACGTTCTGAGCTCCATGCGCGCTGTGTCACACACACACACACCACGTCCGCCGCCTACCTGGCAGCCCCTTCAGCCAATTCGCGGCCTCACAAGCACGCCTCCTCCAAACGCTGGATCATGAATTCCACCGGGTCGCTGGGGCGCTGGGCCATCACGTCCTGGAGCAGCTCCTGCATCTGCACCAGGACGTCGTGGTCATCCAGATAGGTCTGCGGCGCGCAAAGGGGGGAAGTGAAAAGGAGCAGGTCTTCTCCGAAGACCGGAGACCTTCCGAGCCGTCTGAGAAGGCCCGCCTCTTCTAGGGGCCTCCTAGATGGGGTCCAAGTGGATGGGCCCGAAGATCGCGCCGCCTCGCCGATGCAGCGGCGACTCCAAGGTGGCGAAACTCGGGCTCCACACCGGGCTGCATCGCCGATGCACCGCCGTCGCGGCGCGATCCTCCGACCCCGTCCGCTCGGACCCCCTCTGGGAGGCCCAGCTCCTCTGCCTCTGCCCCCCGTGCGCGCCGCCGAGATAGGTTCTCATCGAGAGGGCCGTCTGGAGCCTGCGCTTGGGCGACCCCGCCCGCTCCTCCACGCCGCCGTTGCCGCTCGGGCCCCCCAGCCGCGGCGGCCCCCTCCCGGAGACGTCCCGCACCCGAAGCTGCAGGGTGACCTCCTGGCCACCGCTGGCGTCGGGCCGAGGAGCAGAGACACGGCATGCGTGAAGGGGCCCAAGAGCACGCGCAAACAGACAGACACACATCCGAAAGCCCCCCCATGCCTGTTGCCGTATGTTCTGGATGCTCGTCTTCCCCGCGGCACCCATCTTCTCCCAATAACTGTCTGGGGAGTCGGCGATTGAATGTTAAGCGTATTTTTTCCCTGAGCATAAGCGTGCTGGGTCGCGCAGCGGGCGCGTCTGTGGTCGAAGGTCTACCGCGGGTTCGTGTCGTGTCGACCGCGGCTGTGGTTCCTGACACCGCGGGGATCGTTCAAGCTTGAACGATCGGCTGTGTCCGAAACGTCAGATCGTTCAACATCGATCGATTCTGGGTCGCCCGCGGCGCTAACCGTTGAACGCTGGCGGCGGGATCGCCGTCGGTCGACACGACGCGAACCTACCGTCCTCGGGCCCATCCTAGCTCCGCG